AAGACACTGGCTGCACAAGCTTATCATAGAGGCATTAATCATCTGGTCCTGCTACGGTATATACGAACTCTCCGTAGATTGCATAAGCCGGATGCCCCCTCCCAGTCCCGCTGCCTCCCAAAAACTATTTGACTCTCCGCACGAACATAAAGTATGTTTTCTGTCTCAAAACCTACCAACCGCCGCGGACAACAAGGCAAGCCTCTGAAACTTTGCCAACCTCCTACCTTATAGATGGTTCGTGAAACACAAGCCGAACCATCGGTATGTGTCAATCATAAAATTTACCAAATTAGTTTTCGTTGTCTGTTAACAATTCGGGTTTTATGTTGCTTTTATACAGCCCATTTTCTGGTCTCTTAAAAATTTTAGTTGTGACTATAGTTACGCATATGGCCTTAAATGATTCTCATTCAGAACGGCATCGCTTCTTGAGTGCAATGCAAAAGAAGCAAATAAATTTGCGCCACGTAAAATATGAACAAATCTAGTCCATAAAATATCAGCATACGCAGCTTAGCTATCTTTGAAAATGCAATCAACGTCTAAGGTCAGGACTACATGTCAGGAGAGTTTCACTGAATTAGTCATGGACTGAACCCTAAAGCTGTAGACTACCCAATCACTAGTGGTGAGCAGTTGAGAGGCGTTTTTACTCCTTGACGCAAATCTGAACTGAATAAAAACTGCCCTCGCAGCCGCAAGAAACGGTGGGACTATATATTCCGCATTAATAGGGTATTCAGCAAGAAAGCATTAGAAAAGTTTTTCATTACGTCATCTGTCCTTTGAACTTATGATGGACCTAAGAACTCAGTCTGTTACAGGTGTTAGCATGAAAATTGCTTTTTGTGATTTTCACCTGAGTCATAGTAAATGAAGATTTACTCATACTTAGGTCGTAAATCTGTAATGTTGTCAAATGAAGAAGCGTCAGGAAACTTCATTGAAACATATGCAATTCATTTGTTGTGGTAGATGATTGACGTTTCGGTCCATGTCTCAGAGACTTCTTCAAGGAATGAAGATGATTATTTTGTGATATTATATAGTTCGGCTGAAGCAGTTTGTCTGTGTAGATCAAAAGCTACAGATTAAGTATAACTTTCATTTAAATGTATTTTATCGTAATGTCTGAAAACTGTAAAAAGTGCAGTATTATTTACGCTATACGCAACTTGTCTCGAGTCTGGACCAGGAATTAAATAAATATCCCATTTATGGATTCATGGCTTAGGTTCCATTATAATGGATTCATGGTTATTAACACGATTCATATGTTGCTGGGATATTTAAGTGTCATTGTTTAACTTGCTAAAGAATTATTTTGTTTATGCGAACTTTCTTTAGAGTAAAGAATATGTGGCAGATGTTCCGAAAGCTCTTAGTCGAAGCAGGAGTTAGAGGGCTTTGGAAAGGGTGCGTCCCCAACTGTCAACGGGCTGCTTTAGTGAATATGGCAGGTGTTTCGCGTTCCATGTGAATTTCTCTGAAATAATCTCTTTTAGACCTTGCAAC